ACATTCTTTGGGCTGTATCATGCTTTGCACTTGATTTGAGGAAATAAGGAGATTGGTGGGTGGAAGAAGTTGTAAGAATCACACACTTCCCAAACTCAAGCAGCCACGAGGCTCTTCACCTAACTTTCACAGGCGTGGTGGGATGGACCCGGCCTGCTATGCTGCCCCAAGCCCATCAGAATGTGACTAGCTGGCTTGCATTTTAACTGTGGTGAATATCACAAGCCAGCTGTGGGCACCTAAGGCTCCTTTACAAAGGAAAGGTAATGCACTTAGCAGGGTGAATGCAGCTGAGTTATCCTGCCCTTTATTGGCAGGATGACATGGTAACAAGAAACCAGACCAGTACTGGCTCTATCTGGTTAGAGTTGACATAAAGATGGGGCAGAGCAAACAATTTGTAATGTGGGACACAAAGTTTTATTGGTCCTGAAAACCCCAGAACAATGGTACCTATTTTTGAGTGCTGTCTATTAGCATTTTATCTGCTGTTTACATCTATACAGGCATGTTATTTATTTATAGAGCCTCATCCCCCTCACCATAATGGTTCTTCCACAGGACAAGAAATCACCCTTAGAATCACAGATCAGAGAAATAGTGTAGCAGTGCAATTTAGGATGCCCAGTCACAGACCAGAACCTCATTTTACTGCATTCTGTACAAACACAGAATAAAATGATGATTCCTGCTCCCTACAGTTTGTAACTTGAAGGAGTACATAGATCCTGGATTACTAATAGAAGTAGTTAAAATATGGGTACATTTTTCACACACACAGTCCAGTTTTTTTCATCAAAAGTCAATATATTTCTTATGTTAAAATTATGAAATTCAAACTCGTTTGGCCAGCTTTGTAGCTAGTTTGAAAACAAGGTTGAATCTTTCATTAAAGTGCATACTTGATTGTATTACTTTTTTAAATTGAAATTTAAAATGCTGACTAATTCCAAAACAAAAATAAAATTCAGAAATTTTCAACCATCAAGATGATTACTAATCTATATGGGCTGGCAGCCTGCCTAGCTAGAAAGTAGTTAAATGCGAAATAGATCTCTGAATCTCCAACAGAGACACAACATATAGCTTGGTCAGGAAGATGTGGTGGTAGGGAGGAATGGTGTCCGTAACCTCATTCTACTTGGCTGAGCTTCTGTCTGCAAGTCAGGATCTTAGTGAGTGTAAAATAAGAATAAATAGCACCTTTTGAAGTCAAAGGTTCTGTGTGAATTTATGCCCCCTAAACTGGCTGCACTATTGGAGGACTCTGAGTGTTGTATAAGAACCTATATAGGCTACAGTGGGATCTGCTCATGTGTCTGCTTATTAGGCACCCATCCCCTTGGTTTCTAAATGCCTGGTGGTAGGACTTGTGCAGTACTGGATGTTTGTGAGAGGGCATTGCCAAAGTATGGAAAATCATCTGTTGGGCCAGCACTTCCTTTGGAAGACTACTCAATTGAGTCTTCAGTGATAGTGATCTGCAAACAGGCACCTGGTTCTTGGTTTAGCCCCTCCCCCCCTTTTCTCTATGGCTGTGAGACCTGGGTAACCCATACATGACATCTTAAATGGCTGGAGTGGTTCCAACAGGGCTGCCTTGGGAGGCTTCTCAGGATCAGCTAAGAAGACCAATGCATTAGCATCAGCAGGATAGAAGCTCAGGTCATGAAACCCCAATGCCGTTGGGCTGGCCACTGTGCATATAGGCCTGGCACTTGCCTCCTGAAGCAAGTACTCTTCTCTCAAATAGGAAAGAGGGGCTCGCAAAGGGCAGCAGGAGCACTTCAAAGACATTCTGAAAGGACACCTTTAAAAAGGGAGGCATCAATCCAATGCAGTGGGAGTGCTTGGCACAGAATACAGTGGCACCACACCAAGCTACAGCTTGCTTTAGAGGACAGACCTGTTAATGAGACTGAGAAATGACAAAGGGGGAAAGAAAGGGAACAGTCCAGACAAGAACTGTCTCCTATAAGATTACACTTGGTACTTCTGTGGGGCATGATACGGGGCTCTTCTCCCACTTAAAACTCACTAATGAATTCTCTGGACAGACACCCTCACATCACTGGGTAGCCAAAGAAGAAGAGAATGTTGTGCAGGATTTCATCCTTTAAAATTGTGAATTACAGTTGCTATAATGGTGGTTTTGCCATGTAGCAAGGAGATTTCCACAACACGAAGGCACAGGCAAGTCAAAGCTAGTCGGGTTTTAATTTTTACATAACCTATTCTCTCCTCTCCTGCCCCTATCTATATAACTGTTATGAGCAGTTGCAGATATCACCAGGAAATTACATGTTTGATGACTTATTTTTCTAGGCAACCTATAAAAAGATTATTTTGAAGTATGTTTTAAAGTATTCTTCATAATGTATAAAAATTCCCCCTTGGTTTTTTTTTGTTTTTTTTTTACAGAAATATCAGGATTGTCAGATTTGTTCTCTGATATTTTTCTAGAGGAATCTTTGGAAAACTAGAGAATTCAAGTAATTAGGGTTACCAGTTTTGGTTGGACATATTCCTAAAAGTTTCATCTCATGACAGTCTTTAATTTAAAGATTAATATTTAATTCCTAGAAGTATCAAGACAGTCCTAATGGGTTGGCAGTCTGAGGAGTAGCAGTTTTTAACACTTTTAATTTGTGGGGTGAAGGTATTGAATCCTTTATGCTTGGAACTTTTCTCTTAAATTGTCAGGAGTTGGCGTTAAGTAGAGATTAGTATGAACATAACAATTTAAAACAGTCTGCTTAAAGCTGAAATGCTAATTTGAGCAATCTACACTCAAATTAACATCCCTTAAGCTGGCTGCACACTTGAGTGAGATTGGCTAACCCGTGAAATAACACTTGTGTTGCCACATACATATAGTGCTGTACTCATTTATGTGTCTTGTGAGAACTTCTGGGGGCATTCCCATAGTTCCTAACACAATCGTAAGTGTAACCCACATACATAGTGTGGTTCAGTATCCCAAGTAGTGACACTTAGACCACTTACAGTGAGAGAGAGGCTGTAGAGCTCCCTTATTCTTAAATTGAGAGCCAGCTGGCTTTATAGCTCAAACGGTAGAGGCTGCTACACTAAGCTCCAGAAGTCTCCTTCAAATCTGCCCAGTGGTGGTTATGTAATCCGAGCCACTCCATGAATTCTTTATCACGGAACAGTAGGAGAAGTCTCCTACTAGCCTTTCTGGGCACATGTGGGCAACTGTGGTAAGACATTTGGAGGATTATCGGCACTGGAATGATACTAGTCTGCGTGCAAAGTGGTTGTGCTGGCATCTGAGAAGTTCTGCTTAATTCAAGTTTTAACTTGGCTGGCACAAGGGTCAATGTGAGTTTAAAACGGCACAGCACTTGAGTTAAGGGTTTTTATGTGTGGATGGGACTTGAATAACTTTGCAGTGAGGACAAGCCTTAACAATTCTTCTCCCTATGCATTGCTCAGGTTTTAGTATCTTATATCTTGTGATCTTAGAAGTCTACAAGGAGCCTTCAAGCAAAAGAAACTTGATATTTACAACATGAAAAACAAGCAAAGAAAACAAAACCTATTTTAAAAATAATTTGCCTGGTGTTGTTTATATATTCAACACAGAGCAAAGAGGGTACAAAATGGATTTTCCTCTCTTTACCCTATTTACCTTTTAGGATTATTTTACTCAGCCAGGCTGAAAAGCCACTTTAATCTTACAATTTTGATATAGTAGCCTGTTAGATCTCAGCCTTGTCCATTAAGTTTCATTAGCACTTCCTGCTGCAGTTAACCACATTATGTTAATGGGTCAGCACTTTTGCTCTATGGGCATGCATGCACACTCTGGCTATGTCTCCACTGCTATGTCTGCACTACAGCTTGTATTCGTAAAACTTATGCCACTCGGAGGGATGAATATTCCACTTGCCTGAGTGACATAAGTTACACAGACCTAAGTGCACTGTGTTGGTAGGAATGCATCTCCAGCTCACCTAGCTTAGCTCCACTGTTTGTGGAGGTAGGGGTTTTTTTTTTTATGCTGATGGGAGAGCTCTCTCCTGTCTACATAGTATTCACCAGATGCACTGCAGCAATTCAGCTGTATTGGTACAGCACTGTAGGTATAGACATACCCACCGTTTCTTCCTCTTTCATTGCTTCAGTACTGCCAGGACTTACCTGCATTATTTATTAGTGTAAGAGTGAAAATATGTTGACCCAGTTGTGGAGAGGGAGAATAAAGAAAAGTTATTAGTTCCCATAACAGAAGAACTAGAGGACACCAAATGAAGTTAATGGGTAGCAGGTTTAAAACTAATAAAGTTCTTCACACAGCGTGTAGTCAACCTGTGGAACTCCTTGCCAGAGGAGGCTGTGAAGCCTAGGACTATAACAGAGTTTAAAGAGAAGCTCGATAATTTCATGGAGGTTAGGTCCATAAAAGGCTATTAGCCAGGGGATAGAAATGGTGTCCCTGGCCTCTGTTTGTCAGAGGCTGGAGAAGGATGGCAGGAGACAAATCGCTTGATCGTTGTCTTCGGTCCACCCTCTCTGGGGCATCTGGTGCTGGCCACTATCTGCAGACAGGCTACTGGGCTAGATGGATCTTTGGTCTGACCCAGTACGGCCGTTCTTATGTTCAGTACTTTAATAGAGTAGTATGGATTTCTTAGGAGCAGCTTTCAGCTTCTGTGTCACAAATACTGGCTGAGTCTTCACATTTCTGTGCATGGTTGCAAAACCTGCTTGAGGAGTTTTAAACTTTTAAATGCTGTTTAAAATAAGAATCATTTTATGTATTTAGTGCTTTGATTCTAATTTTTTTTTTAAAGGCCTGAATTTTTTTCTTGCCTTATTGCTACAATAGGCACCAAGTGCCAGTCTGGGTTTCACCATTAAAACCACATGGATCAATTTGAGGACTTTTTAGGGCTACTTCAGTTGACTTCATGAACTAAGCTTTATTTTTTATGTGTGATGCTAATAGCCTGGAATGTTTTGCCCTTTCTAATTAGGTCTCAATCCATCAGGTGAATGTTTTCCCAAGAAACTGGTGGAGATGATTCTGACCCTCCCTAAAGGAAGCATTTCCAGTTCTTTGCAAACTACTCGCCTCTCAGACACAAACTCACCACACCAAACACATGTCTTCCTGGATATTTCTCCATAAAGAGTGACATAAGGTAGTTACAGAAAGTTCATAACTTACTGAGATTTATAATCATTGAGTAAATGTATGGGTAATGTTTTAGGAATAATGTATTTGAAAATATGCTGTATAGACTTGGAATAACAATCACTAGGGGTAATCTGTCTTGGTGATGGTGCATTCAGGCAGGAAGGATTTGTCATCCTGTCCTGTTTAGCTGGTTCAAGCAGTTCAAGGCTCCATTATTTAATCTTGCAAAATGGTGTTTACTTACAATGCTGTAGAGGTGCAGTTGTGGTGCTTTAGTGTAGTATGGGTCTATGCTGACAGGAGGGGTTCTTCCATTGATATAGGTGGTCCACTTCACCAATTTAGTAGCTAGGTTGACAGAATTCTTCCCTTGACCTAGCACTTGTCTATATCAGGAGTTTGGTCAGTATAGCAATGTCTTACAGGAGTGTGGATTTTCACACACACACACACACACACACACACACACACACACACACACACACACACACACACACACACACACACACACACACACCGAGAGCGAGAGAGCTAGCGCTATACTTATGCAAGTTCCCAGTATAAATCAGTCTTTGGACTTTAAGTGAAAAATCACCAGAGGCAACCGCTAACAATTGCCAGCATTTAAAAATAAAAAAGAATACTACAAGAGGAGGGGTTAGTTTCTCTGACTTGGCAGGGGGGAGACTCCAAATTACACAGACACATCCCTACAGGTGTTCACAGTCTATTCACAAACACTTGTGGTGTGGGTGTGTGTTCATGAAATTTTGGCTCCTTCTTGTGAAACCAGCCAGTTCTGCAAAAGACTTGAGTTTTTTTGGGGAGAACCTACTTTGTTAGAAAAGACAGCTATTAAGTGTAGACTGAGGAGTGTGCGCTATGATTTTTGTTTTTGTATTGTTCCACTACTTTTTCTTGTTTCTACTTAAATCTTCACCTTTTCTTAGCTAAACCTACTTTTTGTTTGTTGAAGTGCTCACAAGTACTGTGTTTAAACCATCACTCCTGTAAATTGTAAAGTTAAATTGGGGTACGTTGCATGTTTGGGGACTGAGGATCTGGGATTTCTGTGAATAGCCAGTATCATGGAAAACTCTTTAAAGCAACTCTTTTGGGGGCCACTGACTCACAGAAAAATCAGTCTAGGGCCACATACAAGTATGAAATGAAACACATAACCCCATTGGCCCTGGCCCCGAAGTGAGAAGGAAAAGAGACACTCGCCTCACTCCCTTCAAGCTCCAGCCCCAAGAGATGGGGAGTGCCGAGTCGAGGGCATATCCCCAGGGCTGGATGAACTCTTTTGGGGCCCATGACTAGTAGATTTTGTGGCAGCCCTCTAGGCTCTGGGGTAGGACCAAAAATGAAGGGTTCAGCATGTAGGAGTGGAGTGGGGAGTGTGAGGCCTGGGTGGGAGGGCGAAGGAGTTTGGGGCACTCACCTGGTGCAGTTCCTGGGGAGGCGGAGGGGGCGGGGGCACAGTTGCTGCCCTGTGCTTGCGGACACGATCTCCCACCACTCCCATTAGCTGTGGGGGCCGGAGGGGAGTGAAGCCTATAAGTGACAGTGATGGGCATCCCTGTGCTTCCATTCCCCCAGTTGGGGGGAGGGAGAAGGAATGGCAGTGCACTTCATCCCCCCCTCAGGCTAAATGTGGCCCGGGGTTTGCCTTGATCTGGCTTGCAAGGCTTAGCCTCCACCCTTCCCCAGTAGTGGTGGGGAGCTGGCCCTCATGCACCAGCCAAATATAGGGAAGTGCTGAGCTTCATGGGCTGGTTAAAGGTACGTTGTGGGCCACGTTCCCCATCCCTGCTTTAAAGGGACTCCAGAATTATTGGTGTCTATTAATCTGCAAGGCAAAGACTAGCCAGCAAAGTGCTTGAATGGCTGAAATTCTGCTGGTGCCAGGCGCTGACCCTTAGCCTTCCTTATGCTGGAAGAAAGCTATAAGGTGGTGGCTCTCAGTCCTGGATGCCCCTAGAACCTTTGCAGTGATGCTCTTGTTGTCATGGTTATTTATTACTAGAAGATTTACCTTTTGTTGCTTGGGTCTTAAACTCAATTAATTGCTCTGGGGAGGCGGGGTTCAGGATGCAGGCTGCCCTGGAAAGAGAGGACAACCCCAGCCCTGTCTTGCCGCAGCAGCTTGGGGCCAGGTGAGACATACCTATCCATGGCCGCTGCAGTGGGCATAGCCAGGGGAGGGGTGTATGCCCCTGGGGTGGGGGACAGACACACAAACTAACTCTGAAATATGATAGATAGCCGTCCCTTTCTCCACTCCTGTTCCTTGCTGGCCCAATGGGGTTACAACTGTCCTGATTCCCATCTCTGGCCCCTTTCTGCCTCCCTGTGGTCATTCTACAGTATAACTGTCCGTCCTACAAGATCCCTTCCTTTCCAGTTTGAGAGAGAGTGAAATTCCAGGCACATCCCTTTGTCCTGGCACAACCAAACCTTTTCTATGCTTTAAGATAAAAGGAAGCTGCATGCCAAATTTTGTGGTCCTAGCTCTTTCTGCTTAGGAGTTCTTGAACAAATGAACTCAGATGCACAAACTCTGTCAAATACACAGTAGATGTGGATTACAATAGAACCTATTAGCCCAAAGATTTCACTTTAACCTGTCCCTAACAGCTTGACTGGATCTCAAAGTAAGTGGAGATCAATGCCAATGGATTTTTAAAAAAATAATTTGGCAGAGGTTTCTGAAATTCTTTTAGGACACTTGGGTATGAATGGACTGCTCATAACTGGGACATCTTAATATTGCTCCCTCAGATCAAGGGGAGACAAATGTATTGCCAAACTCCACGCATGCAAAAATCAAGTGTCAGGGGCAGAGAACCTAGTACTGGCTTTAAAATCATAAGATTTTAAAAAATTGTTGTCTATTTTTATTTGCCTTTTGCTGTTTGGGTTTTGAGGCTTTAGGGATTATGTTTTCAAGCTTTACTCCACAAGCATGAGGGCTAAAAATTTCATATAATATTTTTTTAATACCAGATGAAAATCTTTTGTAAGCAGATAAAGCTATAGTTCCTGGAGTCAAGAAAATAGCAGATATCGAAAGTCTAGGGTGAAAAAATCTTGAGCATTAGGAACACTGTAGCAGTTTTTGCTACATTTTTCTAAATCCATTACTTCCTTTGTGTACTCTTCAGGCTAGCCAAGAACCAATCCTGTGCTGGTAAATTGCCAGTCTGTCAACATTGCAGGATTAGGCCCCAAAACAAGAGGTAACGCAATTAGTTTATTTTAGAATTCTTACAGCAATCCGGTATCATGAAGCCTTTTCTCAATATTTGCACTCATGCCATTTCCCTCTCAAATCCAGTGAAGTTGAGTAAATATAGCCAAATTAAATACATCAGACCAGGAGATTTTGAAAGCAGTCAAGCATTGATTGCATCTGATTGAAAGAAATACAGTGGGCATTATCTGGCCTGAACTTTGAAGCTCTCTGTAGAGAATGCAATATGACTTGGAGAACATTGGCAGTTCTGATAAATGCCTTGCGGCTAAAGTGTCTGTGAGCTAAAGTAAATGGATGAATGCTGGAATCGAATACAGTGTCCAGAAAGCAGTGCAACTATAGGTTTAAAATGATGCCTATAGGGATTGTTTGTCTTACTGCTTCTTAGAATTGGAACTTCAGAATGCCTGGCTTTCTTCAAGCATGATTGTCAGAGCTGAGCGGCTTGCGGCTCTGGGCTCAGCCTTCAGGTATCTAATTTATCTTTCTCCTGACAGCAGAATTGGGATACTATACACATGGCAGGCTTGTCTCCAACAGTCTTGAGCCTTTAGTTATGGCCATAAACAGGAGAATGCTGTATTATCTACTTTGAGAGGTGCCTTTCACCACACATGATGCTGCTTCAGTTGCGGATCAGGTGGAAATGCTTGCTGTCTGGGTCAGATTCAAAGCTCATTGAGGTCAATGGGAGTCTTTCTATCAACTTTGGGGTCACACCATGTGAGGGCCTTTCTACATTGGCATTCATTCCTCTCCATTTGCTCTGAAATGGCTAAATTTTAGGGCATTATGCAAAGCCTATCCTATTAGCCCCAGCTTTTGGGTGTGGGGGAAGGTACTGTTGCCTTGGGAGGGGAGAGTTTTCAGAGGATCACAGGTCTTTGGGAATCTCTTCTGTAATTACTAAGTAGTGTGGTGTGCTTTTGGTTACACAGATGTTTGTGTGCTGGAGTTTGTGCTGTTGTATTAATTGTTCATGGTCTGGAGCCCCAGCCTAGCAAGATGCTTTTACAGGTGTTGTACCAGTGATCTAGCTAGGATTCCTTGCATGCCCAAAGGTAGGCATGTGCTTAAGGACCTGGCTGAAATGGGACCTTGTAACATGTTGATGGCCAGGATAGGCACCTTTCGGGTTGTAAAATGTGAAATACATTCATGTTTGTGGTATAGAGTACTAGAGCTTTTTAAATGTTTTATTTGGGGAGTGATGGTGTTATATTGATTTGTAACTGATCACTCAGAATTCTAAGATGGTAAATACTTAGTGAGCAAGGATTTGTATAACCATCTTAAGGGAAAGATTCATATTGATTTTAGCAGGAACTGGACTGGCCCCTAAAATTAGAAAGCATTAATTCTCTCAGGTGCCAAAAATTGTTAGCAGGTAATTGCTGTCCAGGAGGAAACATGTTTGCTGATCAGACTCCACTTTGCAAGAAGCTCATTTGTATATCACAAGAGCCACTACGGTTGAACCTCTCCAGTCCGGCACCCTTGGGACCTGACAGGTGCTGAACCAGAGAATTTGCCAGACTGAGAGGTCAATATTGTCTAGCAGAATTACCAGCCCTTCCACTACTTACGGGGTTCTTAGAAGACATTTAGGGGCAAATTACTGTTAAATAACAGCACAGAAGAAGCTAGATGGGTTTATGAAGGGGATGGTTTGATGGGATAACATGATCTTGGCAACTAATTGACCTTTCACTGTCAGTGGTAAATAGACCAATGGTGGGATGATA